GAGAGAGAGAGAGAGAGAGAGAGAGAGAGAGAGAGAGAGAGAGAGAGAGAGAGTGCCCTGTGATGCGCTGATTGTGGGGAGAGGGGTGTTGGAACGAAGCTAAGAAAGCGGAGTTGAATGAGAGAGTCAATTGAGAGAAAGAAGATTGGAGAAGGGGGGAATGGGGAGGAGGGGGGGGAGTGGAAGGGGGGGGGAAAGACAGATAGACGAATGGCGGAAGAGGGATGCGAACCCCCGACTTGTGGATTGTGATTCCGCTGTTGCAGAGCTACCCTTCTTTCCCTGAATACAACGTACGGTCATTATAGCTGTATGTATTTGGAGTATCTGTTAGTCTAAATACAGCTATAATGACCGTGTGCTGTATTCGGGGGAAGAAGGATAGTTAAGGAATAGTTAGGTGACAAGAAAGGAAAGAGATGGTCAGTTAAATTGCGCAGGGGAGAACTTACACATTAATAAATAAGTGAATAAATAAATGAATAAATAAATAAAAAAGTGCAGGGGAGAAAGTTCATTTTATCCGCCGAGATGAGATGTCATCGAAAAAAAAATAAAAATCCCTTACTGTCTTGAAATGCGAGAGTCTGTCAGACGATAAGGGATAAGGGGGCTGGATTTGTCAGAAAATACATTGGGACGGATTGAACATCTTGAATGTATTGGGACCAATACTTGCGCCAGATACATTCACAAAAGCGTTGTGCAGAGGAACCTGACCTTGAATTAGACTGGATGAATTGAGAAGATTAACATGGTCTCGCATTGCTGATTCTTTCAGGGGAAAAGAATGAAATCCTGCTTTTGTCAGACGGGATGAATTAAGAGTGAATTTAAAAAAAAAAAAGGATTCGATTGATTAGATACTAGATAAGATAAGACCAGAAAACCCAAAAAAAAAAATAATAATAAACCAGAAAAGAACTGGATAAGGTAAAAAAAAAGGAAGAATAAGATTAAAAAAAAAAAGAACTGGATAAGATTAGATTTAGGTTGCCACGTGTCGTTATTGAAATCTTGTACGCGTAACACGCCCATCCTCCTTCCTCCTCCCTCCTCCTCCTCCTCCTCCTCCTCCTCCTCCTCCTTCCTGCTGCTGCTGGTTCTGCACTAGACACCGTTTTCGTCAGAATAGAGCGGACGGTCCTTATGACTGTATTTAGGGCGACGTTCAGTGTAGATACAGCGATAATGACCGTGCGTTCTGTTCGGGAGAGAAGGATGGTAAACTTTCTTGGCTTCTGGCGCCCTCCGCATCTTGTTCCCCTCGCGCTCTATTCGGCGGAAGAGGGTAGCCTTCTTGCCACTTCCTTCCCTCCGTATCCAGTACCCCTATTTCTCCTCCGTCTCCTTTGCCTCCTCTTCCCCTCTTCCCCTCTTCTCTTTTGCTTTCGCTGTGTATTTTGTCCCCCCTTTTTTTTTCTTTTTTGCTCGTGTACCTTTCGATGCGATTTTTATACGAGTATTTGCCCTTGCGTGTCCCTTTTCTACGTTTTTTTTTCTTAATGTCCCTCTCGAAGAAATGAGATCGATATAAATAGATAGTAGATACATGTGTGTGTGTGTGTGGAGAGAGAGAGAGAGAGAGAGAGAGAGAGAGAGAGAGAGAGAGAGAGAGAGAGAGAGGGAGATCAACACGGACAGACAAAGAGAGTTAATGAGAGTGAACGACGAAAACACACACGCAGACACACACACACACACACACACACACGCAGACACACACACACACACACACA